TCAGGTTTAGGGCTTAAAGCGTTTGGAGGTGTTCTTCAACCGCTTTGCCCTCGATGGCGAAGTCGGAAAGGAGGGCACCGGTGGGTGTTGTGGTGCGATTTTTTCCGGAGTTGGACTTCAGCAGTCTGGGTTAAAGCGCGGGCATGGGGTTCAAAGGGCAACTCCGCAGAATATTCCTTTCAGAGCAATAGACACGGAGAAAAAGAAAAGAGACAGAGGTGGTGATGAGGGCAAAAGGTGCACAATTGCACCAGCCAAGAGAGAGTAGGGATTGTTGTGGGTGCATGGTGTCTCAGATGGTGCAGTGTGTGCTCGACTGTCCTGCGTTTCTGATAGAGTCCCAACTCCTAGCAGTGGGAGGATTACAGACAACTGAGAACTTCGCCGCAACCAGCAACAGCCGGATTCGGGGAAGGTGTCGTCCCTGTGTACTTCCCGTTATTGGTTTTTTCATTTGACGCTCGAGCCCTGAATTCTGGAGAAAAGCTGTGTAAGTGTCCCTAGTAAGATGGAGAATGACTGAAAACACATGTTGATAATCAAACGACCTTGCCGTTTCGGTCATTGGCCCAGCTTGTGTTTTCACACCCCTCCAATGCAGGCGGGCGAATCGCACGGGGGGCTTCACCCGCCTCCTATGCCTGGGAAAAGAAGAGAGAGAGAGAGACTCGTTATTATATTGGGATCTCTTTTCAACAAGGATCTTCTATATTAAGGACTTTTATTTATATTTATCAAGTCGGAAGTTCTGATGCTATGGAAGCCCTTAGGCCGAGATCAAAAGTATCTACTTCTCGAGTAGATGGGGGGCCTTAATGGCCGGGGGGCCTCAACAGCTCCCTATGCCCTGGCGAAGAAGAAAAAGAGAGAGAGAGAGAGAGAGACAGAAGGGGAGAGGGCGAGGGAGAGACAGAGACAGAGACAGAGACAGAGAGAGAGAGAGAGAGACCTGTCGCCATTCGTGACCAAACGGTTCCGGTGTGTCATGATGTTCGTGCCCGATGTGCTTAGAACCGCGAACGCCGCAGCAGCTGGATGGAGAAAATTGGGAGGTGGTGTCACGCGGATCTTCATGATGCTAGTACTGTCCAATCCCGTGTTTGGCTCTGGCATTGCAGCGAACACTGTCTGGCGAATGTCCATGATGGTCCCTATCATAGTCTTCCTCATCACTGCGGCGGGCTTGAAGTTCTGAGCCCTGCGGAGCCTGTGCAGTTACTGAGCTGAGCATCTTTCGTGTGCAACTAGGAAGGGAAATAGTTCTCTTGTCTTTACTTGTTTGGTGATTGATACTGTTTGTCTCAACCTTTTGTACTCGGGGGACGCCACAATCTAAGTTCCTTTTCAATTTTTCAAGACGGGCCACTGGAGCAATTAACGCGGACTACCAGATTAGACAACCGTCTACCCCGCTACTTCGGGGGGACAATGCATACTCCAAAGTGTTTCCAAAACCGGGGGATGGACTGACTCGCTTCTATTATGTATTGTTCCTCAACTAAGCCATTACCTGAAACGGGGGAGCTGACCAATTCGACATTTCACTCCACTGTCATATTACCCAAGCCGATGCATGGTTTGTTCAGCCCCGCAAAACCGTTGTATGTTACGGTGAGTGATGCACGCATCAATGTTATGAACTTGGTGACTTTCCATTCCGAGTTTTCAAGCCCTTGCAAAAGTCCCGAATAGCAAAGGGGGGGGCTTAGTGCCCCGAGGGCCTTAACAGCCCTCTATGCCCGAAGCAAGAAGAAGACCTGTCCCCATACCCCAAGCAAGCAAACAAGCAAGCAAGCGAGCGAGCAAGCAAGCAAGCAAGAGAGAGAGGGGGAGCGAGTTCTGTGGCGGGCGGGTGTCAGAGTGAGGCGTCCCTGTGTCCAGCCAAGTCAGCGGAGGAAAATCCTTACGGTAGGTGGAGGTCAAAACCTGTGGACCACAGGTGCGAGTTCGCGTGCGAGGGGTGGGGTGCCCGCCTTGCTCCGCTTACCTGCGAGAGAGAGATCGAGAGAGAGATCGAGAGAGAGAGAGAGAGAGAGACAGAGAGAGACAGAGAGTGAGAGAGTGACAGAACGCTTAACTCCAAAAGCTCTCGCTCCCTGGACCCAAACCTGCGAAAGCCTACACCCAACGTGACAGTCTGTGGCTATGAAATCCCCGACGTGGGCAGCAAGTTAATGGCGAAGGCACTAAAGTGGTACTGTAAGTAACCCTACCTGGTGTTTCGTACAGCAACGCAGCAGGAAACACAACAAACGAACTGCAAACCCAGAAGCCCGAACTGCACTCGACCCTGCTGCCAGGATAGCCTGCTGATGATCTTCCTTTATTTGGGCTTCCTCACCGTGGATGAATCCAAGGTGCTCGTCGAGCGTGATGGGTTTAGGGCCAGTTTAGGGCTTAGGTTGTAGGGTATGGAGGGTTTATAGATTTACGGGTTGTGATTTAAGAAATAGCGTTTAGGCTTCAGGATGTTTCTATTAATATTCGCAGTTTACGGTTTAGGTTTAGGGTTGCGCGATTTGAGGGTTGAGGGTTTAAGATCTAGTGTTTTGCTGTCGAAATGTAGGTTAAAGACGTCAGGGTTGGGGTTATGGCTTCGGAGGTTGAGGGGTGCGACTTCGGGTTTAAAGTTTAATGTTCAAGTGTAGGTTGTAAGATTTAAGATTTTAAGGTTTACGAATTTGGTTTTTGGGTTGCTCAAGTAAGAGCGGAAGCAGTTGTAGAGAAGCTCTGCTCAAATCCAGGGGGTTCCTATTGATGCTTGATGGTGCTGTTGTTCTTCTTACTGTGACTATTATCGCTGCTGGTAAGCCCCAGCTCCATTGTGATGATTAGACTTCCAAGGTTAAGACACAAAGTACCCATTCGGTGCCAGTACGTATGTCAGAATAGGGTTTATTTATGCAGGGCTGAACGTGCCATATCAGACCGCAGATGAAAGAAGGGCTTGTAGGAGGATTGGGTTCCGGGCGGGCAAAGAGTTCAGAGCTTGGGTCCTACCAGTAGTAGTTTTTTTATGGGCGAAAAGCGTAACCTTGAGGGTTTAAGGTGTAGGATTACGACCTTCAGGCTCACAACCCACGTCAGCCTTTAAGCCGCACAGACTTCCCTTGTCGCCAAATTCTCTGGCCCGGAGCTCGCAGATGCTGCAAGAAAAAGGCTCCTCTTCCAAGCTCAAAACAACCGGAAAATAGACAGTCGGGCGCTTCTCAGTCCATGCTCATGCTGCCATTCTGGTCAGGCACGTGCAAGGCGGATTAGTTCGCATCTTCTCGGGGCAGGATCGTCGCCCGCACCATGCATACCACTGAAGAGACCTGGCAACTTCAACGCCAGGTTTCAGGAGTCCGCAGGGAACGGCATCGCCTCACAGAAACAATGGCCCGCAATGAGCTCGCCACCGATTCCATTGCTTGGTCTCGAAGAGTGACTCTTAGAAAGGTTGCATCTCGAGGGTTGCCTTGGTTGCTTCGCGCCAGCGGTACCAAGCCACACCTACATAAGACATTGGGTGTGCTGTGCAAACAGCTCCGCAAGGCTTGCCGCAGTGCCAGGGACGCGCACATAGAGCCGTTAGCCAGCACCATTAGCACAGCGCCGTCATGTGAGGCTTTGCAGCGTTTCACTGTGTGTTACCCCACAGGCATAAAATTTTAAAACAAATTCTCGACCCCCCTGCCGCTCATACAGATGAGAGACGGCTCCTTCTGCACGGATGCACATTCCTCGCGAGCCAGGTGGCGAGAGCATTTTGCCGCCAAGCTTCGTGTGGTCCAGAGCCAGTCGACTTCACGCACCCTCCAGGCATCCACTCTATTCCTTTCCTACCCGCGTTGCGCAGTGTTTTAGCCTCCGCTAAAGTCGGGAAAGCGGCCGGCATGGGCTCGATCCCATCCGAGCTCGGGAGACTGTTTGCGGACGAGTCAGCGAGAGCACTCTTCCCGCTGCTCCTCAAAGTCATGTGGCGGGGCACTGGGCCAGCTGGCTTCAAGAGTGGCCAAGCCATCGTGATGTACAGGGGACGAGGCCCTGCGACGTCTCGTGCGTCTTACACACCATTCTGCTCATGACTAGCTGGTCTAAAGCTTTCCACCAGGCTATCCGCCCAGCTAGCCGCCAAATTTTCGAGACGTCGGCCCCAGACCTTCAGACAGGCGGCCGCAAGGGCTGCAGCGTCACTTTCGTGTCGCATGTTTGAGAAGGTGCGCACGGCAAACTGGCCGGCCTAGCTGTGTGTTGTTTGCCGACATTTCGGCTGCTTGCGCTTGTCCAGCGAGTTGCTCATTCCGACGCCACGCTTCAACATAGCGCAGTAGTACAAGCTCTGCAAGGTCTTGACTTGCCCCATGACACTATGCTCGAGCTGTCGGCCCTCCTTACTGAGCCTTCCGCGCTCACTCAACAAGGAGCTCCACGCTGGTTGGAGGGCATCGCTGCACGCATTGGTGATAAGAGTTGTTGGTTTCTGATCGCTGGTGACAGCATCAAGGGGCACAAAGCCAGGCAGCGCCCAGAACATGCTCTTGCTTCTCGACCCTACCGGTATTGTGGAGACACGACAAGCACCATCGGCTAAGGCCTCGCTGTTTCTCCCTCAAGCACGTTGCTGGCCTGCGCTCCCCCGCATCCCAATGGCGCCGTCAGGACCGTTCCCTCTGCAGCACCTAGCACAGCCTCCCGCGGCTATTATGCCACCCGTCAAGCCTATCAGCCTCACAGCCCGTGCAGCTTCGGCATATGCCACATGGATTGAGGCCGCTCGGTGTGCCATACATGCGGCTACCCAGCCCGTCCCGAATTCAATCACGGTGAGCGTCCGGAGGTGACCTTACCACGGTGAATGGAAAAAATGGGGGTTGCTAATGCAATGGGTCCCTTACGGATCCCAAATCTAGAGCCCGGGCCCAAACCTCAAGCTTCACGGTCCATCTTCCAGGGTGCAATCTTGGGTCTGAGATTTACAGTAACATCCCAAACACTTGCAACTCCTTTACCGTCAGGTCAGAGAAGCTGCCGACAATGTCAGTGGCTACCCGTCACTGGACTTCCACGTGCCTTGCAGCTTTACGGCTTAGGGCGTGACGCTGTTTGAGGATCCTTGGTTTTTCGCAGTTTTTTCCGACGGACGTTTGTTTTGGCCTTGGTCCCTTCTCTTTAATTCGCTATTTTTCTGTTCCTTATTTTCACATTTTCTGTTCCGGCTTTTTGCCCCGTCGGGCTCCGCACCACGGCGACCCTAAGCTGCTTCATCGCAAGCTGCAGTCGCCTCAAGTTGGGGGTTATCTGTTCGAGACTGCCTTCGTGTCTTTGTTTGCGGGCTTGCGGTCTGTGTTCCCCCAGTCAACCGGCAAACGCCTCCAAACATTAGAAGCACCCAGAACCTTCGTCCAGCATGTGCCCCAGTCGTGCCGGTCCCTCTCTGTAAACAAGGTTTCGAGCATGAAGCGATGGCAGTTGGGATTCAGAAACCCCCAAGTTCCAAATGGCAAGCCTGCAGGCACCATCATGCAGGCCTAAAGCTCTGCACCCTAAGCCCTGGACCCGTCGTCTCTGTTGAGCCTTCTGAGCAGTAAAATCGTACGAGTGGCGGCACGCTCAGAAGTCTGACAACCTGAAGCCCGGACCGTGCCCGAATAAAATGAGGAACGCCAACGCTTATGATCTGTCTTGCGTTCCAAATCTGATCCGAATCCTGTTCCAAATGCACTGGTGCGCCCCAGTCGCACAAGATTGGGCCCCTGTACTAAGTCCAGAAGCTTCGAGTACCCTGGAGGCAGTGTGAGCGTCAAAATCCAAACCAACGTTCAACTTTAACCCCGAAAGCCTTAAGCTGCCCTGAACCCTTCAAAGCCTTCAAAACACCAGATCGCATCTCAGGACTTCTGCTCCGTCGTCGATCACGCGGTCACTGTCGAGCGAGAAGCGCTACAGCGAAAGATCGAGGTCGACACCTAAATTGCCGTGGGTTCAAGTCTTGCAGCTGTTATGGGGTTTAGGTTTCATCTGGTGTAATCAGGCCACTGGGTTGTGCTTGTCCTTCTTGGGTTTCAGAGGATCTTACTTACAATTACAATTTACAATTGCGGCCAGCTGGGGTGGAATGGGAGCTTCAAGCCATAGAAAGCGGACCATAATATCAACCCTAGACAGTAGGATGCACGTTCTGCAGACCCTGAAGTCGGAATACACACACTTCACTCTATTTCAGTTTTCAACCTTGAGGTATCCTCCTCGTACTCATAAGACGAATCACAGCTTGTTTTATAAAGGTCTTGTTGGGGTCCTGAACCATGTGCCCTGAAGGTCTGGCTCATCAGGAGCACTGCGTTGCGCACGGACGATGTGGCAGAGAAGACTCTCAGCCAGATGAGTTTTAGTTTGTCCTGTTGGTGTCGGTTGCGGATGTATTGATTTGGTCAACGCGAACGCGATTCACAGAGTGCTCTCGTTTGGAGACAGATGGTTCCGGGAGCTCTGCACTTGTGCGATGCAGAAGCTCGCGAAGAGTGGTATGAATTAGAACGCCCGAAATTCACCGAGGATGAGGCTCTTCTTAAAGTCTCTCGGCGTGATCTGCACGAAGGAGACACTGCGACAGCTGCCGACCCCAAATCCCTCTGTGAGAGCACAGCTGCACGTTGAGGGTATCAGGATCCAGTGCTTTCACGGCCGTTTCCTGCAACATCCTCCAAGATCAACCGGGTGTCGTCCTAGTGATGTGGGCCCTAGAACCGTAGCGTAGCGCTGGAAGGCTCGCAAAACCCAAGACCTGAGCCCTGCACGGTACTGTTCCTGATCCTCAAACTCTGACCGTTAAAGAGTTGTGTCGCCTGGAATCCGTATCCCCCATTACACCCAAACCGTGACAGACCAAAAGCTTCAAGTAGACGCCACCTTTGGCTTAGGCTCGCTTCGGCTATCGGCTGTAAGGTTTTGCGGTTGGGTGCAAAGGGGGCGGTTTCATTTTTAGGGCTTCTGCAGGAGCTGGTAGTGGAGATGATGAGCCTGGGCGGCCTCTCTAACCGCCGCTGCGACACACAGGAGGTCTGGCACCCAGGTCCAGTCGATACATACAGCCCTAGTAAGACCCCGACAGCATTCAGCTGCTGCATATGCAGAACTATATGAAGTCGTACACGGCCTACGTCACCAAAGACCCCAATTGAACACAGGAAACTTTGAAGCTACAGGCACAAGCTCTAGAAGGTCAGAAGCGTGTATGCCCCTCAATAGATACCGGCCAAAACTGTATGCAGGAAGGAAGCCCAGGGCCCTGCACAACATCTGGTTAGCTCCGGTAGTGCGCTCAAGCATGGAGCGGACAATCAGCTTCGTGTGCGCAGAGCCTGACAAAACATGAGCCCCGTTTTGCATCTGACAAGCCTGCATGCCACGAGCATGAACATCCAGCTAGTAACGATTGGCTGCAGCTGGGCTTCAGGATAGCTCTTCTCTTCTCTTTTGACGGTTTGATCCTTAAGCCTTCGGGCCGGAGGTGATACCGTTTGCTTTAGGCCAGACCTTTGGGTCTAGGTCGTCCTTCCACTCCACTCCCCTGCACAACATCACACCAACAAGTTCAGCACCCCCCCCGCGCCCCGGGTACCCTTCGATCGAAGCCAGGAGCTTTGGCGGCTTCTTGCTGCCTATCGCGCCTGCGAGGGCTTTACTCAGGAGGCTCGCTTCCTCGGAACGGCTCTTTTGGGTTGGAGGTGTAGGGATTCAGGGGTTTAAAGGCCTTCGATGCCTTCTTCAGCACGGACTGACAATATCCTACAGCATGTGGCCTCGAGATGGTTGCGCAATAAGGTGCACCGAGCACTCATCCGAATCTTGTGGCTCCAACACTGGCAACTCCTCCTTGTCGAATATGTCCATTCCAAGATGGGCCATGCGAACATCGAGAGGTGTTCCTAGGGCGATGAGCAGCTCCAGTCTTTCTGGGTTGGGCCTTGTGCTCCCAATGGTTCCGGAACCCAGTATGGGTGCTAGGTCGGGTGTGGCTTGGAGACTTGAGGTCTCAAGGATGGAAGAATCAGGCTCCTCCTGAAAAAAAGGCTGAGACTCGAGGGTTTGTTTTGGTGAGTTGCTCTTTGAGTTCGGAGAAGAGCCCAAACCCTTACCTGGTTTGCCGTTTGAACGGTTCTCCATGCAGGAGATTGAGAAAGCGAACGAGGAATTCGACCGCCTCGCTTTGGTCGGGGGCGCCTCGACGCCCACAGCCAGGATGCGAGAGGGCAGGCGGGCGGATGAAACATGAAATCTGTGAGCTTAAAGTCCCGGCCCGGGCAGGCCTTAAATCTAATGCCGCGAAATCGGAGCCGCGTGTTGTCGGGTTTTACCAGCTTCGGCTTGGTGCTCAAGGTTTACCTGCTCGCTTGCTGGATTTTCGATGTGGCATCCAAAAGCCTAAACAAGAAGCGCGAGGTTCCGCGAAAGTTCCACGGATTTCTGGTGTTCCTGTCGCCCGTTTAAACCCGAAGCCCCAAGCTCTATCGCAAGACAAGAACAAAAAGCCCCCTGAAGAATCTCAAGCCTTGGACCCAACACCCTCGAAGCGCCGACGCAGTCACATCCAATGCCCCTCTAAACTCCCTGCAGCCCGAACCATCCTAAAGCGAACGAGAACAAAACCTTCTAGCCCTTCCGCTCTGGATTTTGGACCCTACAAGATCTGAAGCCGTCAAGAGCCCTGTTGACCGAAACCCTCAAGTTCCTCAAGCCAGCCTACGAACCGTAAACTGCCTTTGACCCCATAAGCCCTAGAATCCAAAGAATCCAAAAACACACTGAAAGCACGAATACCTAAGTATAGTCGTGGTCAGTGGTTCGTATCAGTATCACGCCGACTCGAATCTGTGGAGCCGTGCCGCCTGGCTTGTCCGTGTTGTGAGAGCGTAAACTTACCCCAAGTCCCTAAGCGTTTGCCTTTCTCTAAGGTCCTAAGCTTAAACGAATCTGAAGGCACGGGCTCTAAGCTGGCAGGTTTCTGCCTGGCCAGCATCTCTCCGAGGCGCTTCTTGCCCTGGAGACGGTCTACTGCTCTCTGGCTTAAAAAAAACGGCAGTCAGAGACAGAGTGGGGGAGAGAGGGCTTCGAGTCTTTGGGCCTTTGTGTTCAGGGTTCGCAGCGCAAGTCTGCATCTGGGGCAGTGCTGGGGTCCTCGGGCTTTGCAGGGTGCAGGATTCAAGATTAGGGTCTGACGGTTTCAGTGTTTCGAGGCTTAGGGTCTTAGGAGTGTAGGGTTTAGGATTTAGAATTTAGGATTGATTGTTTGCATATGGCACGAAGGGTCACGACATGTGGCGAGGTTTTGGGGCCTTCTTGTCATTGTGATGTGTTGTTGTCATCCAGTGTTGTACCGTTTTGTGCATTTGTGCGTCTCATGTGTTCTTCCGTCAAGGCAAGTATTGGCAAGGATCCAGGACTGGAGGGGAAAGTAGGATTTCAGGCGAACAGCTTAAGGCTTTAGGGCTTCATGGTTTCAGACTTTGGCGTTTGAGGTTGAAGCTGGAGGTGCCAATTGGGCCTTCGGGTGGAATAGTTCAGGGTTTGAGGCTTTGGAGTTCAGGGTTTAGGTGAGTGCCGGGATTTGCGGCTCCCGAGTTCAGTACAGAGGGCTCAGGGCCTAGGGTTTTGAGGGTAGGCTCAAGTGAGTGCAAAGTTTTGAGTTTGAAGAGGCACAATTCTCACTTTTCGAACTTCACGGACATCGAAGATTTTTGGTGCTGGGCAGCCCGTTAGGTTCGTTCCAGAGTTTCCCAGTCTTTCAAGCCGATCCCTGGCAGCGTTTCTAGGCCCGAAGGAGCCCAGGCTTTGGTAAAATTTACAGGCACCACAACCATGGTGAAGAGAACGGCCGCTCGCCTTCACCGTGTGTTTTTGGCACCCAAACCATGGTGAAGGCAACGGCCGCTTGCCTTCACCGTGTGTTTTTGGCAGCAAAACCATGGTGAAGGCAACGGCCGCTTGCCTTGACCGTGTGTTTTTGGCACCAGATTTGGCACCCAAACCATGGTGAAGGCAACGGCCGCTTGCCCTCACCGTGTGTTTTTGGCACCAAATTTGGCACCCAAACCATGGTGAAGGCAACGGCCGCTTGCCTTCACCGTGTGTTTTTGGCAGCCAAACCATGGTGAAGGCAACGGCCGCTTGCCTTGACCGTGTGTTTTTGGCACCAAATTTGGCACCCAAACCATGGTGAAGGCAACGGCCGCTTGCCCTCACCGTGTGTTTTTGGCACCAAATTTGGCACCCAAACCATGGTGAAGGCAACCGCCGCTTGCCTTCACCGTGTGTTTTTGGCAGCAAAACCATGGTGAAGGCAACGGGCGCTTGCCTTCACCGTGTGTTTTTGGCAGCAAAACC